TTTTTAATCAGCTGTTTGGGCTGTTAATTCTGACGGCACCCATTCACTGCAGAGGATTCATTGGTGAGCAAGTGCTGTAATGCTCAATTTCTCAAAATCCGTTCTGATGAGCAAACAAAATCATCTACATTTTGGATGACCTGAGGGTCAGTACATTTTCAGCTAATTTTTATTTTTGGGTGAACTATTCTTTTAAGACAAAACAGGAAAGACAGATTTAAGACCCGAGAACAGGAAGCATAAGCCACAGGAGCAGAGGATGGACAGACAGTTTCTTACTGTGATAGTTTTTCTACTTCTGTCCTGAAACTTTCCTTCACGACATTCCAGTCCAAATGGGAGTCCTGTTCCAAACACCCACATGAAAGAGAAAGAGAAAAAACATGGATGCTTAGGAAACAAACTGAATGACTCAATAACAGAACGGCCAAAATCATAATGGTTTGCTTTGTTAGTTCCCAACTAATACCTCTTTCAGCTTCTTCACAGCAAATTCAGTGTTTCTCATCACAGCTTTATACACGTGCCCGAACCCTCCTTCTCCAATCTGCTTGCACGGGGAAAAGTTGCATGTGCCACTCTGGATTTCCTCAAACGGCCAGCTCATTGCAGTAGAGGAAAGAGGCGGGGGATCCATGCGGTTCGCACACGGGCACTATGAACAGACACAAATGTGTCAGTGGATTAAGAGACTGTAAGGAAGAAAAACATGATGGCTAAAGGAAGAGTCATGCTGACTAAAGGAAGAGTCATGCTGACTAATGCCTCACCAGCACAATAAAAACTGAACAGTCAAACCTAGCAAGTTTTTTCTTTAAGCCGTTTTAAATGACTGAATTTCTTTCTTTCTTTTTTTTTTATCAAATGAAGCACCTCTATATTTGAAATTCTTGAATCCATAGAGTCCAGATCAGGCGGTGGGGGGCTAGGCTTGGGTAGAAGCCTGACTTCTGGAAAAGCAAAATGACCATTTTTAACACAGATATTCTGAAGCAGTCAACTTGCATTTTTTTAAAAGAATATCATGTTCGACAGATGCAATCACTGAACTTAGAATAAAACATTACCGGGGACAGGGAGAGACTCTTTGACAAAGGTGGCTGTACTGCTTTGACATGCAGGGACTGGTGGCACCGTTAAAGGTGACTGCTGCTCTGAACGAAACTGCCGTATATGTCTGCCTGTGGAAATGCATGCAAAAGTACATTAATGGATTTTTTATCTAAATATAATGACATGCAGTGTCTGCACAAAAGTAAATCATAAAACTGAAATATATCCGTTTTTCTACATTATAATTTTTCTATTTAGTTTAATTTATTTTTATTTCAGTTTTAGCATTTCAACATGGGAACATTTCAAATTTTCATCTACATTTTTTTTAAAACGTTTTTAATCAAAAATATATTTTATTTCAGATTTATAACCAAATTTAGTTTGAACACTTATTAGTTTTAGTTAACAATATTACTCAAATATTATTACTGTTGACAATATGATATATAAGACGGAGTCATTTATTGGCAGATATCTGGCTATTTTGAGATTACTTGCCGTTTGCCAATAGATCAACAAAAGTACTCTCTCTCACTTATGTCAGTGCCAATATATACTATTAGCCATGTCAATAAATAATACACAATTTGATAAAAAAGTAGTGAATCTGAAGAAAATAGTGTAAAAGCTGTGTAATTTTAGTTGCTTTAACTAAACGAGCCTATATAACAAATTTATCTGCATTATATATGCAAGTTGTTGCATTTTGATGAAAGATTATAGGGACTTTTTTTCTTTGAAAAAACATGCACCGATGAATCATGCAAAATGAAATGGAAACGTGTTTTAACAAAGCAAATAAGGTCAATTTGGACTCTGTTTAAGATCAAATAAGAATCCTAATTAGTTGTTGCTGTTGATTTTATTTTTTTTTTCAGTAGATATCAGAGGAGAACGTAATTGCTTGTAGCTGTAACTCCGACAGCCTCTCTAGTGATCAGAGAACAGAAACGGAAACAAATAAGCATGTGTGATCACAGCAGAAAACTGCCACATCTGACAGCATTGTGTTTCTGCACAACTTAAATGTGTTACTTGTCAATAAAGTGCCTGAATCAAGACTATCAAGTGAGTTTCATGACAACCTCAAAACCCACCTGACAACCTGGCTGGTTAGGGCATGAGATATGGTAGAGATAATAGAAGCAAGCAAATGACAAGGCACAATGATACAGAAAGCATACATACATTCAAGGATGATATCACGGGCCCTAAACCACTGCAAGCCCTCAAGAATCTTCAGCAGTTCTCCAACCGTCCCGTTGCGACAGCCCCATTTGTGGATCAGGTTGTCTGTCCGTCTGGGGCTTTGCTCCAAAAGGCGTAGTTCGGTCTGGTCCGATATTACCTGTGAAGCTGCAATGGACATTAAAGCACTGTTTTAGTTTAGTTATTAGTTTCCACCAAAATACTTTAGTTACTACAGTAAAAACATCATAATTTAATTAGTGGTGTCAAACGATTAATCGCGATTAATCGCATCCAAAATAAACGTTTTTGTTCACATATGTGTGTGTACGGTGTATATTTATTATCATTATTATCACACTGGTAAAAAATGTATAGCCTGAATGCACTGTAAGTCGCTTTGGATAAGAGAGTCTGCTAAATGCATAAATTATTAATTATTATTATTATTATTATGTATATATAAATACAAACACATGCATGTATACATTTAAGAAACATATGTAATGTTTATATATTAAATATATTTATATATTATATAAATTATATGAATATAAATATATACATGTAAATATTTTCAAAATATATACTGTATGTGTGTGCTTTTATATATACATAATAAATATACACAGTACACAAACATATATTATGTAAACAAAAACTTTTATTTTGGATGCGATTAATCGTTTGACAGCACTAAATTTAATATGATATTTAGCTCCAATTGTGTAAGTGAATCATTTATTCTAAAACTTCATGAAGAATCATTATTATGACTGTGTAGAAAGTTCTGACATTCTCCAGTTACCTGGATAAAAGGGCAACATTGGCAAACATTTACTTCACATAAATAGCATCTTATTTAAACTTATTTCCAATCAGAATGATTCCCTATTGAAAAGGAGCTGTGATTTAACAATATGATGGATTAAATCTCAGCATCTCACCTGAATCAATGGACGCAAAATAAACCCCAACAACCCCAGTGATCCACGTGCATTGCCGAATTTATAAATCAGATTATTAATTATTAACCCCTTTATTTACTCCAGTGTCATCGGTCATCAGGCCAGGGCAACAATCCTGACATTTAGCGAAACATCTGTAGTTACCTCAACTACATTCATAACCACGCAAATATCATTACAAAGATTTACAAACTTTATTCACAACTAAACTAAGTAAATAAACCACAGCTGTAAGAAATAAACATTTCACAAATTAAACAAAAACTTAACTTTTGATGTCACCGCTCAGATGGCTAAGCGAGTTAGCGAATGTGCTAATCAACACATCCTCCGGGGTTCGAGTTCAGATTTAAATAAAATACTACTACAGCAGCCTAATAAAAACCTAAACATAAATACATAATTCTTACCGAATAATATCCAGTCTGAGCGTGAAAGTGAGTCCATAATCCGTGTAAAGTGATTCATAACAGACGCGGGTAAATTGTACAGAAACTCATTTTGAAACTCCGCTCCTGACATTTCCCTGACTTTATCTTTTTCTTCTTTGCTGTGTAAATCTTTTTAATCAGCTCTGATATTGTTTTACGTGGTCTTTGGACGCGGGAGTTTCCTGCTTGTGGCTGTCACTCGTGTTAGTGGTCTTTTTTTTCTCTTTTACTTTAAGTCACCACCACAGCAGTCACACCGTGCTACTGGTTCGTGAATATTTATTGCGTCATCTAATTAATATTCATGAGCCGCCGCTGAAGCTACCGTTCCTGACCGCCGCCCCCTTTCTTACGTTAGTAGTTGAAATCTACTTGCGGAGGCCAACGTCACATTACGTTTATTAATATTCATACCCGTCATCTTCACCATAGTAGTCGAGTTCGTGAATTCCTTCGCCATCACGTCTAACTTACTCACATCTTCCATTTCCTTTTTTCCACATTTAGTAATAGGGTAAATGTCACTGTCCTGATATTAACTGCTGTTTTTGCATTTTGAGGCATTTGCTCAAAAATTTAAAGTGATGCAATATGCCAGACAAATTTATGTATTACAAACTTTTTTTTTTTGGTCTGAGAAAGACATTAAAGTTGCATTTGTATCAAAACATGAGAGATTACTATATGTAAAATATGAGCAACAAGCATTGGTTTAATTCAAGTTCAACTGCAAAACCTCAAGAGAAAAACTCCCAAGTGAAACTGAAACATTGATTTTGCTTTCCAGATTACAGCCATCAGTACTTTTCCTTGTTTTGTTTACGTTTTTTCTAACATGATTAAATTATAGATAAAACCCTGATATTTCACATTAAGGAAACATCACTAACATTGTTTTGTTTGTGACGCGAGTCAAAGAAATGTTTTAGACAGAGAGCAGGTAAATGTTGTTTACTATTGTGTATCTGTTACATACGGCAAACAAATGATACAGTAACACAGTACTATAAAAGTAGACACAAACTATACTTTTCACTTTCAGGAAGGCAAGGACTTAGCTTGGCAGATGGTGAATAACCACTGACACATAGTCTTTAGGATTGTTTGGTTAAAATAACATTTTTTTTTTTTTAGATACATACTACCCATCCCTTTTATTTAAAACTAAATCAAAAAATAATATGAAAACAAAACAGCTTTGGACAAGGGTAAAAAAATACATTAAAAAAGTTAATGGGGAGTCCTGCCAGGAAACATATTTTATAAAGTGCAGATCTTAGACTCGTTGTCCGTCCGGTCAAGGTTGACGTTTTTTTTTGTCATAAAATTTGATTGGAAGATTATGTTTGAGGCCAAGTTTTTTTTTTTAATGGTCATGTTAAAATGGAGAATATTTCCCAACAAACACACGTTACTTAATAATCTGTGAAACATTCAACATATCAGGGATGAAAAAACATCAAAATCCTATAGCTTTTTACATCGTCAATATTGCCCAAGTACATCTCCCTAATATTATGCTTTTTTTTTTTTCTCAATTAAGAAAATAAAGCAAGGCAAACATATTCTTGATCTCTATAAATCCTTAATACATCCATAGCACTGAATACCAACAAGAGGCAAACACAGGACTCGGAATAAAAATACAACTACAGTATAAAGATAAATTCTATTACTGAAACTTCAAGGCACAAAACTATGTTAAATAGACCATGAACTTTCTACCACGGTGGAACTGGAATCTATTTCTTATAGTTTAACTTCGGTTTCATTTGACTTGAAATTGTCCTCCTTGCACGATTCAAAGTGCTGCATTTTAGTCGTAAAGGTACATTTCTTTTACTTCAGTCCTACTGTTACACAAATCAGAGACATACTAAAGGAGAAAACTCATATCCGATCTGCTGGGTATACTATCGCACTATTGCTATGAAGATAAAACGGTCTATTTCCAAAGTTGGATTCATAATTGGAAAAAACTAAAAAATTACTACTAATAAAAATAAATCTAACACAGAAATCTACAAATTACTCTAGCCACTACAAGGAGTGGCGTTTGAAGCCCAAACTCAGCTACCATCAGTTAAATCAAACAATACTTCAATGAAACAAATCTGTTCATATTAAACAGACCAAAGTGCACAACCTTCATTAAACAGAACACATTCAGTTTTATATACCTCATGAAATCCTTCGGATTCGGTTGGTGTGGTTGGGCTCAGCTCATCTTTATATATAATAGTAAAGGGCAAGCAATGTCCTATCTTCTAATGGCAATCATGCATATTGATACATAGAGAGGTACATAGCATGTATTTTTGGCTACAGGGACACAAGGACATTCCAAAGCATATTTCAGTGCCAGAGGCACAAATAACCCAAACAAAGAAGGAAATCAAACAAACCAACATATATAAATAATAAAAGTATTCTTCTTATTCTGTCTTTACCCATTTGTAGGGCTCCATTTTTGTCAGTGGGCTTTGAGCGCTACAAAAGGCAAGAAGTTCTTAACAATACATCATTTCTAGGTGGCCACAAACACCCAGCTGATGTAAAAAAAGAAAAATTAACAACCCTAGTTACAACACACACACCAGTGCACGTTCTACCTATGAAAAATGACCAAATAAAAACCAAACATTTGAGTAAAGTCACTTTCCACGGTGCTTCATTGGGATAAAGGTGTTTCTTTAGAATCAAAGGTCACTTCTACCACCTTAGTAAGTCTCCCAAAATAAAGGCACTACCCTTTCTGTTTCAGCCAGACTGATGCAGCTTGTGAGTCGTAACTTCAATTCATGTCTGGAGGTTTCGTTCCTTTGCTACTGTCCTGAACCTGTAACTGAGAAATGTGCTTGCCGAGGAATCCATTCGTCTACCTCCGATCTCCCACCCGAGTTTAATCAGACCAGGGAGACGTTCACCGCAGACAGGACACAACGTCAGCCGCCGGTTATAAGTGAGCGCTCGAACTCTGCCGAGGACAGAGGGTGAGCCAGTGGTGTTTGACTTTAACACTTAAAGTCTCCTGTTTGACCTCAAGCAATTAACTGAGTTTGCCTTTGCAGCGAGGACCAGACCTTGCGTTCGTCTGACTTAAAAATCTATTTCCTTCATCTGCTTTTGACTACTTGAAATGATTACATAGCCCTTGTTCGGAGCGGAAACCTCTTCCCCGTGAGGGTCGAGGGAGCGGGAGGCTGGAGGAAGAGAATGGAGACGCTTTCAATCTTAATACGACTTGAGTGGAAAAATAAATATGCAATGTTCCTCGTGATTGTCGATCGTAATTTAATCTACACATTTAGCGACAACATTTTTTTAATATATAAGATTCCAGATAACGAGTCTACTCTGAAACTCACTTGGGGGGAAAAAGGACCGGTAAGTTCTCTCTCTCCAATCTGAACCCCTAAATGACAGCAAGTATCAAAAACAACACCCTACTGTAGATGAACTACCAGACGAAAAGATTTAACAAGTGCTGAGCGTTATGACTGATTAAGGTTTAGTTGTACACATTTTTCTGCATTTATGTCAGTGACAATGCACATCCATCACCCAAGCCACAATAACTGTGAATGTATAACATTTCATACACAAACAAACCTGTACACAATACTTTGAGGGAAGAAAAAAAAAGAGCAGCAACTCTCACTCAAAACAGCAATTGCAATATCTAGAATACAAAATTATAATCTGTGATGACATCAGACCCAGAGGTCTGTAATAATTGGTTTTATACATAATAACTGAAATGGTATGGTTTGTTTGCTTTGGATTTAATGTTATGTCTATATATATGTCTAATGTATATATATATATATTTTTTTTTTCTATTAGATTGGACAAGCACACAGAGTTGCATGTAACAGTCAAACATCGGGACATTTACTAACTGCCTTTGTCATCTCATTACTGGCCATAAATATGTGATCTCATATACTTTAAGTTAGAGATGTGGTACTTGGGACTCGGACTGCAATTATGAATGAACTCAGACTTGGATGCATTTGGGTGGAACTTGACACGGATTATGACATTTCAGATTTTTTTTTACTGAGTACAGTCGAATCCACGTCATGCGTAACATGATAGATAAAAATAAGTAACAACATAAAATTAAGATGACAAGACATTAAAAACTGTTTCCCACTCAAATTCAATTGACTAAGGACTTTGACTCGACTCGAACCTGACCCATCACTATTATTAGTGAAATGTAGCCTTTATGCATGACAATTTGGTAAATATGGGGTATTTTTACAGAAAAAGCAAATCTAAACAAAACAATGGCTCTTTATAACGACACTGAACATGCATTCTATTCTAACACACATCTGAAGAAAATTACAACCTCCAGACATGAAACAGAAGTCTATGCAAGGCTAACCAGAAAAACATATCCAAATAAATGGGTAGGCTTCTCACAATTCCAATATTTGATTCTGTGAAGGTGCTTTAAAAGTAAGGTGCAATTCATCTAGAAGAAGAAACAAAAATGAAACAGAAAAAGTGCTGTAAAGTTTCTGTAAAATCCTAATCAATTTTACATAATCAACAAAGAAGAACTTCCTCAGTTTTGGTTCAGAAATTCCTTAGTATTACATTTCATCCCAAAGGTACAATCAAATTAATTACCAAGACATCTTTAGTATGTCCAATCTCTAACAACTTCATGCACGGAGCCGTGATTTGGTGTCCTCCCTTCTGATTGCAATGTTCTCTGTCATTTTGAAAAAGTAGGCTTTAGAAAACTAATAGGACTATTCATGATTGCTTGGTCTTGTACAAAGTATGCAAGTTTTACTTTCATTTGTTGCCAAGTAATGTTTCATTATACTCATAATTCAAAATATTTACGTATCTATAACGTTTGACCCTCATCGTTAGTGCTGAACCTGGCTTTATGTACAAGAAAGACAATGTCGGAGTACTGTAATAAATAGCACGCAAACATCAGCAACCCATGCATTTGACACGGCTACAGCCTGACAAGACATTATATAAATATAGCCATCTATTAACTTTCCCGTCAGAATCGTTTTTAGAACAGCAGCTCTACGGCATTAGTCTATAACCACACACACAATAAAACCAAAAGCTACATCATTTGAAACGGTATGCTCTTTTTTTTTTGTTAGGGATTTGTGTTGCAAGAACACAAGGCCACTCTTTAAATTGTACTTCATGGAAAAAAAGCAGGTAAACATAACACATTCCTTTTTCCGTATCCTTTTACGCGAGTTGACATCTACTCCAGATGCTACACTGGACTGTGCTTTCAATATTCCCTAACAAACACATTTGTGCTTTATCTTCCCCACCGGAGAAAATGAAAAATAGAGCTTTCCGCTCTAGTCGCATTTTCTCAGGCACCACCGAAACAGGTGATTAGGTTAACTGAACTACTGATAATAAATAGACACGTGCGCTTAAAAGACCAACAACTCAAAGGAAATACTACTTCCAAATTCAATTGATCTTTACAGGTCAACAGGCTGGAAATATCAGCTTGGCACGAACCCACAACTAGGAAGTTCTTTTCTGTCGGAGTTAAGCTAGCGTCTTATTTCAAAGGTGAGGATGCTGCAACAGCTGCGTCCGACTCAAATGGAAAAGGTGGAGATCGGAAATGTGGCCCTATTTTCTTCAGCTTGCCCATTCGTTTTAGACACAAAAGGAAGAACACACTGATAGAACACCTTTTTGCTAGGGTTGAGATGACATGACTATGAGGCATTTTAGTACTTTCGAGAGCATTTTTGATCGGAAAGTTTCGCTTTACGACAACTATGGCGTGTGACTTGTGCATCCATTACCACTTGAGTGTGTTTCTACTTCCTACAAGCTCCGACAAAGGAATAACTGGATTAGGTGAGTGCTAAGATATACTAATACAAAGATATAGTGGGAAATAAAAGGAAACCATAAAGAAAAAGTTTAGCAGAGAATTCATCCGGAAGCAAAGAGAATTATCGCCCCGCGTCCAACCCACAGAGAGAACGAGACACAACAGCTGCCTTTAAGTACGTTTACATTTTTGTTTCCTTTTTCTTTTTTTCCTCAGTAAAAAAGAACGAAAAATCACTCGTCTCGCCACGACCGCCTCCGACTCTTCGCGCGCAAAGCCGCTGCCAATCAGTCACTTAGTCAGTCAGCTCACTGGCTCGCTCACTGGTGTCCGGGACTCGACCGTTTCCTCTCGGCTTGGCCTCGGAACGGTGGAGGGAGGAACAATGTCTCTCAGCTCCTTGCCATCCCCCGTCACAGTCGTCTGCTGCCCTCTCAGGTCAGAGGAGGCTATCTTGCTTGCGTTCTGAGCATCCCTGCTCGAGGTGCTATCAGTTCTCGCTTCCTCCCTGCAGGCCACATGCTCCGCTTTGGGCCTGGAGGTGCTCAAGTCCTGGGGTTCATTTTCCGTGGTCGCAGGCGGCCCCCCTTGCGTGGAGTGACCCAGTGAGAGCTGGTGAGCCTGCGGAGTGTAGGTGGAGGGCGGCATGGCCTGCAGATGGTGGTGTTGGTGGTGGTGATGATGGTGGTGGTGTTTAAAGTGCTGCCCTCGCTGATCTCTCTTCTTGTGACTCTTCGGTCCGCTGCTGCTGGTTGCCGTCCCGCTGCTGCTGCTGCTGCCGTTTCCCGGATCCGTGGATGCCTCTTTGTGCTTCCGGCCGGGATGCTTGTGAGACTTCTGTCCCGTTTCTACCTCCTCCCCAGTAGGGGTCACAGTTGATGCAGTCAGTCGTTTTGCTATCCCCGGTGCGAACGTCTCCGTCGTGGAAGCGGTTGATCCTTCCAACCCCTCTAAAGTCTCTCGAGTTTTGCGTTTCTTGATGGGAAGCGCCCTCTCCTGAACAGGCTTTACGGAAGACTCATTCTGAGCTTTTTTCTTGGCCTCGGCGGTGAGGATGGCTGCGGCGGCGTACGCGGCGGCTGAGCCCGTCCCCACCGCCGATTGCGAAGCGGCTGCTGGCTTGCGGCCACGTTTTTTGGGCATGCTTGGCAGTTCCTGTTCCGATTTCCGCTTGCGGCCTCGGCGCACTTTGGCAACTGGCGCTTGCCCCACTGGAGCCCCTGGTTCACTTTTGGGGGCCACAAAGGGCATCTTTACGAGGAGTTTTCCTGGACTCTTTTCTACGACACGCTTTACAGCCACCCCTTCCGTGGCCTGCCGTACCTTGCCACTGCCTTTTGGCCGACCCCTTCCGCGACCGGAGGTTTTGACCACTTTAGGCTTCTTTGGCGGTCTCTTTTCTCTGCGAGAGGGGCTCCCGCGGCCCGTGACTGTGAAGTCAAAGTCATTAGGATCCGTGGTGGTATCGCCCACCTTTTGGAAGTACGCCATGAGCTCCACTTTGGAACGGAAGGCTTTCCCTTCTGGGCTGAAAAAAACAAAAACAATATATTTTGTAGTATACAAATTGATGACTGTAATTTTAAGAAAACTATTTGAGAGTTTGAGAAAGTTTATGTGCACTAAATTAGAATTTTTAAATCAAATATGAGTATTTTCTTGAATTCCACTTCTTATTAAACACCCTTTAATAAAATGAAATAAAGGAAAAAAATCCATTATGGGAAGTAAAAAACACAAACCCGTAGTCCAAATACAAATATTTTCTTTGATTTCACATTTATTTTTATTAAGCACCTTTTAATAAGAATAAAATGAAATCAAAATATATACAAAATATAAATCAATCCACATTCGGCTCTAAAACACAAATCTCTGTGACCCCGACCAGTGTAATGCACAACTCTCTCTCTATACTTTTAATTTATATTTATTGAACAACCACTGACTTGTTATATCATGCTTCAAATGCTGCTGGGACCTGTTACACAAGCTCGTCTTACACTGGAAGTGACACGCCACCTTAGACAAATCAGCCATGAATCTGTGATTAAAAGGCTGTTCATATCAAGAATGAGAACTATATTAGCGTCCACACCAGCACACAACAACGCTCTGTTTATTATAAGGACATGCTGCATTTATGTCGTCTGCCACTTTAAATGCTCGAGCTCTGTAAAGCAGAATGGATTCTGATTGGCTGTCTATGTTTTTATCATTCATTAGCTGGAAAAAAATCATTTTGGAAATGATTCCAACTATATTGATCCTCTGTGCTGTTATCATTAAAGTTGTAGCTCTGGTGTGGACTCTGCCATTCTTTTAAATTTAGAATGATTATTAAAACGGCATCTTTATCGATGAAAACGGACCTTCAGACTTCAATGATAATAAAATGGGAAAGCTTCTAACTCAAAACATCACTTAAACTGACTTTGTATGGGCCGAAACAATTTCACATGTTAAAACTGCATATATAAATATGGTGAGGAATAAAAGATGATTTAAATTTGTAGGCCAGAAACCAAAAACATCACAAGCTGGCTTTGATGTAATAACAAAAAATAAGATTCAAATAAATAATTCATGATATAGGTAAACATATGTAAATGGGGAATATAGCATATTAAATGAGGGCCTAACTGGTACTTCCAGTGTTAGCAGGTTTATTTTTGTTGCAAAGCAGCATGCCGTCCGTTTTAATTAGAAGTCAATGACTCTTCAAACACAATAACCTAACTTTCATAATGACTGATTTGTTGCATGTGTGTCATTTGGACGCAGTGTTACGAAACGAATATCATCTCAGTCGCTCTCAAAAAAGCACTAACTTCCAGCAACTTGCACTAACTTGATCAGGTAGACATCAAATTTTCCAGCGGATCGCCCCGACTTGCGCTGTTTCAGCTTGCGCGTCCAACCTTGAGGCAGTGAAGGGTCGTCATACAGTGGGCCTCTGTCCCGAATGATGGAACGCCGCTGCTTGGCCGATGCGGAAGATTCTGGAGCGCTGAGAGCAGCTCCAACTTCAGGGTCAACGGGTTCAGACTTCCCTGCTTCTGTCTGTTGTCCAACATCCCCCTGCCTAAGGAGGGGCGGGGGTGGAGGAACGGACACTGTGGCCTCGAGTTTTTCCACATCTTGCCGTTCCCTTTTGTTTTTCTTCTGCTTCTGCGTCTTGTCTTTTGAGCCCTCCTGGTCTTCATTCTTGTCCACACCTCTGCTGACAACACAAGAAATAAGTGGCACACTGAGACAGGGTGACAGTCTTATGGGTCCGTATTCAAGTCAACCGCTTGTCTAAATGTCTATGAAGTATGTTTTAAACTGAACAGAAGTGCTGCGCTTGCACGTTTGCCATCATAAATTCAATATTTTGGCATCAAAGCATGCTCATTTACAGATCACACAAGCTCTGTTAAATGCCACCAACGAGCAGGCGAGATGTGGCCCGAATTTGAAGTGTTAGGATAAACTCAGTTAACCGAATAAACTGATGCAATTCGCATCTTAACATCTTTAGGCGTCATGTGAAACCTGATTCTAGGATGTGTCTATTTCGTAACTTCAGGAGAAACACGTTCAATTTGATTTCTACTCTTGCTTACAGACACACGGAAACCACCCTAGAGGTGTCGAGACGCCCGTGTCAAGCAAAACCTTGACGTGGAGGTTGAATCATTGTGTCTTCAGAGGACGGAGGAATTTCCCACTTGTCTGTGGCTTGTCCCTCTAGGCGACAGCAAACTCTTTGTCATTTTTTTACACAATGATCAACTTAATTTGCCTTAAACCTAATTGTCAGATTACTCTAAACATATGTTTTTGTCATTGTAACCACATGGTGGTCACAATATTTCGTCCATAAAAACATCACATTTCCATATCTACAGCAAAGAAAGAAAGGGAAAAATAACCAAAACATGCTGTCTACTTATTTTGAACTTTTTCTTCAGTCGTTTCTAACTGTAACAGATCCCACATGTTTTAAGCTCAAATGCTGTCACTTTCGATGACAGAACAGTGTTGAACTTCAGAAGGAAAACTCAGGTGATGAACACATCCACAAAGTTTACCAGGTACATAAAGCTGAAACAAATAGTTACTTTGTTCTTTTATGTTACACTCACTTTAACAATGACTAACAGTCTGCAAAAATAGTTGCTGACATGTTTCAGTACATCAACAAGAGTCACCACACCTTCGAAACAGTAAGATTAAAACAGAAAGTTAAAAACAAACATTCATTAGACGTATTCAATTTTAGCACATTATCATGCTATATTGCAAATAAAGGTACATATTTGAATTGCATTTAGCCAATTTATGACTATACATGCTGCACTTAGTATACACGTGAAGTATAGCTAGAATATTTAATCTGCACTATAAACCGTGAGCTAACAATGTGGAGTAGCATTTCCCACAATGCAAATGCAACAAATGCCTCGTTTATAATGGGTTTTATTGGTTTTGTTTCGTCACGCCGGGACACGGCATCAGTTAGGGTTGCAAAAAGGTGGAAAATTTCCAGTAAATTTCGGAAATATTCCAGAAATTTAGGAAACTTTCCAGGATTTTGAAAAAAAGTGAAAAACTATGCTATAATCCTAAAATGAGATGCACACCAAAACATTTATATAGAAATTGAAATCGCAGCAAAATAGTTCTGCAGTGACCGCTCACTCTCAAAAAGCATTGCAAATAACATCATCAAGTCTCAAACTACTTAAATCCATATAAATATTCTGCAATGAACATCATTTAGAATTGAATGCTGTTTTGCTTAAAATCAACCAGTTTTAGTTTTCACATTTTTTAAAACAATTGCATCACAACGTTTCATGGGATGAGTAGTTATATTGAGGTTCTGGCGACTCTGAATAAGATTTAAATTCTTGGTGACACAGAAAAGAGGACTGACACTCTTTAACACTCTTAAAATAAGTTTAAAAGAATTAACTTTTAGTGTTTTTAACTGATAAACCCAAACAAACTTCCGCAGACTGCGCTACATTCTCAGTGATATTCACTTGACTTGATTTATATCTTTTAAAGAGCAAGTGTTGTGAATATGCATTTCTACAATTACTTTGTTAATAAGTGTAATTTTAGGCAAAACCTGTATCAGTTCATCACTTTAGCAGAACATATATGCCAGTTCTGACATAAAACATTTTTGGGAAGTTCACGTCCTGCAATGTGACTTGCAAAACCTTTTTTTAATATATTTTGCATATATGTTATGTATGCAACTTTTATGACCTCATGTTAAATGAGAAACTACATGGAATATTTGCATTTCATCAATATTTGTAAAATGATCCACAATGCAGGACCACCTAAAATGAGTTGAAGACGCATTACGTTATTAAAAGTCCAGTCTCACATGACTTAATATATAGTTTCCCTTATTTACATACATTTTAACTTAATCTTATGCATTCACATTTATTAATTTACTTCTGTATCATGTGTGGCATGCTCCATGAAATTATTGCTAGGGCAGATACTGGATCATTTGGCGTAGATGAGATATTCTGTTTGTTAGCCATGGAATAATTTATAGATCTGACCTTAAAGGTGGGGTAAGCGATTTTTCAAAAACGCTTTAGAAAACTGATTCGGGCCAGTAGCAAAACAAACTTGTAGCCAATCAGCAGTAAGGGGCGTGTCTACTCATGAAGTGGAGGAGAGAACGTTCAGTGCACAGCACAGGACATTAGCCGAGCCGAGCGACAGAAAGATAGATGGTGGATAAAAAACAAAAGAGGAAAACGTCTGCGGAACAAAAGAAGGCAATAAGGCAAGAAGTAGGACCCGTGTAAATATCAGATCAGCTTTCCAGCGCTGGAGAGAACTCAAGGAGCGGAAGGCCTGCGATCGGACGCCGAGGTTGCTTTGTTTCTTCTCGATAGGTGAGTAACACCGTGTCTGTGCCGCAACAGCTAAAATCTGTATAGTACACTGGACGCGACAAAGCGACCGTTGAAAATCATTTGAAATTTGTGTCAATACGTCATAAATAGAACGCAGCAGCAGTTTTTTGTCTGGGATTTGTCGTGTTGTGCCGCATCCAGTGTAGGCCATAGATATGTATATATATCTATGGTGTAGACAGCATCACTGATTATGATGAGTTCTCGCGCCGCGCCACTCACGTCCGGTGTAGACACGGTGTAACATTGGTTTTGCTTTGTTTCATAGAACTAATCGTTGCCTGGGTTGCGTACGTATGTGTGGGGTGGAGCTATCAAAATAGGGGCGAGACCCTTTTGGGGTAGGGGCATGTTTGTTTTGGTGATTTCAAATGTCAACATTGGCTACCAGAAATCGCTTACCCCACCTTTAAGCATGAACTACCCATTTATGAGATGAACACAAATGAACAACAGCATGTCATAAGTTTTCTTTAAGCCACGACTTTTTTGGGGGCAAGTCAATTAAAGAACCTTAATGAAAGCTAATTGGTATTGGTCATAATTAAGTTTTTATCGTGAACGTTGACTGTTCAATTTAGTATTAAGTAGGAGGCAGCGAAGGCCTTGAACCTCAGCTGGAAATCAATTAATATGTGCATTAGACAGCTCCTCTTATAAAACCTAATCAAACATGAACAATTATACCATGTTGGACAATCAAGGACCATGTTTAACCATAATGAACAACCGTCTTTGAAAAGACATCATAAAACCAGAGACCTTTTGACTCACAATGTCGAAAATTTGCCCCACTGTAAAGTTGTCAAATAAAGATTATTAGAGAACGTTTTACAAGAAAAAAAATCTTTCAGTTTTTCTGCTTTAAAATTTAATGTTTAATTCAATGTTCCTTGCCATTTTCTTGTAACTTGTAACGTTTTGTAAGATGTACTAGCAATTTCTGAGTAAAAAATACTTCCAGTACATTTCAAAACAAGATTTTAGTGACCAAATGAAATCCATAATAAATGTTCAAAATAATAACCTGTTTGAGTTTGAGAAAATATTCCAAGGCTGGCAAACAAAATGTTTCATCTAGCCAGTAACGTTACCTGCCCTTGCAATGAATTCATGGAGCATGCAACACAGGAAGAAGTTGCACAGGATGCAAGTTGAGCCTTCGAGACCTGTCTGTCACAAGTGTGCGCAGAAGACATGAAGCATTGTGTCTTGAATGTCACTCAGTTTGTGCAAATCCCCCTGCGGTCGACCACACACACACATACAGACAAATACGATGCTGCTAGATCTGTTAGCTGGCTACCGGAAGTCAGCTCAACAATATCACCAGCCTGCTCTCACATGGGAGTGCCTTGTGCATTGCTAAAGCAAGCGGAATATCTATATTTCAGTGATGCGAGAAGCACAACAGTGTGTTTTGCACCCGGAGTTACATGGTTTGCATGCTGCAGGGGCAAAACGAGCAAGCAATAACAACACAGAGAAGCACGCACAGTGACATCAGGCAGATAAATAGCACACTGGCCAACTTGCTTGCATATGCAAACTTGGTACCTGATGATGCACAGCTACCTACACAGCACAACAGCATTGCACTGGACTAAAACGCATCTTAACCTAATTTCTAAGCACTAGGACAGGCAGATCTATCTGGAGCAAATCTCATTTCGGTCCCCTTCCTTATCCTGCAGCGCCACAAGCGAGCTAACTTACTTCAGTCCGCTGTTTTTGACAGCTAGCGAGCGCTTCGGAATTAAAAAACACAGGAGCGCCGTAATGTTCGCGCGAAAGAGCCGCGAATATCAGCAAAGCAAAACATGTGTGCGTCCAAACCCCCAGGCAGCCCTTCGCTCCAGATTTCAGGAGAGTTTTTGAAGTAACGTCAGAAAACGACACCGGACTAAAGCGTGCCGCGCAAAGTGTCCGCTGATCGTGGAAAAAGAGCTGGGGAAATGCGAGTGACGTATTCTCAACGCCTTCGCGGGCTAGCGCGGCTAACATTCCCCCCCTCAGCCTGCGCCTGCTTGACAAAATATCACAGCGACGATCAAAACCGACGCCATCGCCGCTCGCGACGCCTGACATTGGAATCCCTGACAATGGGAATGGATGCGATTCACACTTACAGTCTCTCCTCTCCGCTCTCTGCGGCGGCCATTTTTATTGAAATAAATAAATTTCCAAAAAATCACGCAACATCTTTGTGGGTACCCCTCACCCTCCTCTCCCACTCCCTCTAGCACAACACCATCCTTCGGACGCGAGATCTCGCGAGAGGTGGGGTGGAAGGGAAAGGGGGTAGCGCGTGCATTCTCGCGAGAGCTGAGAAGTGGATAACCAGAGAGGGAAACAACGTCCAGGGCGAGGAAAGCTGCATTGCACACCAGAATAATAGTGCCTAACTGTATTATTTCGATCTGCGATAAAGTCCTGTTTCTTTGGGATAAATCCATGTCAAGTTTTTGAATGTGCTTTCAGATATTTTTGCCTTGTGATAGGTCTGCACATCATATATATGGGAGACTAGGAGTGTCATAAAAAAAATACATTTTTATTAACAAAAATGTAAATGAACAAAAAACTTTTCAAATTGACTGTTAACAGTTTTATTTAATTCACATAGCCTATGTTTTTTTTCAATTGATCTAAATCACAAACCTGAGCAAGCAAGAATAAGGCTCTTTATGCCAGTGAAATTCATATGTTGTGCAATTTTTACTTTCTTCAATTACACATTTTGCTTGACATTGACATTTTCATCGGTCTAGCTGTGAGCAATCAACAAGTGTTGTGGGGTGATGTTTGCAAGGTTGCCGTTTTTGTAATTAATTTGTTTTCCAACTTCCTTTTTTTGACACATGAATGTGATAATGAGGAATGAAAAGAAAGAAAAAGAGGAAATGAGAGTGCTATTAAGGGATGTCTTTACTTACAGGCCTACAGTTGAAAAAGTGGTATATTCACAGACTTGGCAGAAAGCAGAAAAGAAAGACACTTAAAGAAATGCACATGTATGTAACCATTACCTTTAAAACGGAATCAACATCAAATGCAAATCAAAGACTATAGAATACTCTTAAAGGGACTTTGATGCAAATGATATCATGAAAAACTATGCCATATGAATTTTAAATAATTGTCCCATGATTCATATTCGATTTTACGTGGTGAGATTTGTATGTATGTGGATTGGAGTTCTTGAGAATGTTTCCTTACATTCAGCTGAGCTTATTTTAGTCTCCCGTCTTCCTGCAATCAAAAAACACTTGCTTGGGTATTCAACAACACTCGCATCTGAAACAGCGAAAACAAAACAAATCTGACAGCTACAATTTCTTGAGAGGCACTAAATCCATACTAAACCCGTCACTAAATAGACTTAGAATAGAATATAATGAAATGTGTACAATGTTAGATAACAGATAAAAATAAACAGATGCATGCTCTACTGAGACATTTCACAGCCCCATATTTTAAATCTGAGGCATTTTAGACGTTTTCAATAGCATTTTTTGCACCAAGCACTGCTTAATTTCTGACCCTGTCTGTAAGACACAAAATAGTAGCGACAGAGTGATATATATCAGCAAGGCCTATTAAACAGCATATATTTGTCATTTTAAGATGATCAGCACATGTTGATAATAACTGTGCATGCAGTGCTACAAATGACATTTCCTTCTCAGTACCAGGAAACTACCAACAGTTGTCAACACATTTGAACAAAAAAAAATTTTTTGTTATAGAGAGAGAGAGATAGAGAGAGAGAGAAAGTGGATTAAGATTTAAATGAATTAATAGGCCTATTTTTATTTAGCAATGATGCATTAATTAATTAAAAGAAATGTATCAAAAATATGAAGCAGCACAACTGTTTTCAAATAATAACTGCTTCTTGAGCAGCAAGCAAATCAGCATAGAATGATTCTGAAGGATCATGTGACACTGAAGACTGTAGTAATTATGCTGAAATTGTAAAATACATCACAACAGTACTGTTTTTACTATATATTTGATCAAATAAATGCAGCCTACATTTTTTTAACACTTAAGAAATGGAAGGAAATTGATTTCTGGAAATGAATCTGTTGTGGTGTATCAAGGTCCGAGGGTTAAACATAATTTAAAGCATACAGCATACTTACGTGGATTTGATTGCGCGCGTATCGAATCTACTCCACAACATCGCGTGGAGTAATGCAAAACCACAGGCCAGTCACCTATTCTCCAGCCTGTAGGCGGAACCACTGCCGTTCATGGCGATTAATGACACAAATTGAACTGAACGCTGTGTGTTGGGTGGCTTCACACCTTTGGGTGTTCCTATAGGGTTTTCCTATTAGTCATATAATATTTATTGAAGGTTTGCGTGTTTTTAAACCACTTCTGTTGTGTGTCCAACAACTCCTCGCGGTCTGCAATGTGGGCCACGGCATTTTTGGCCGTCGCTGCTGTTGTCTGTGCCGTGAGTAGCGATAGTAGTTTGGAGGACAAGGGCCGCGTTGAATTGCAGCGAGTGCGTGAACTGTCGCAGCAGCCGCGTTATGGCGAGTGCTGGTCTCGAGCGCTGGAGAAAATACAATCGAGCTGCAAAGAGTTCAGTGATGATGTGCAGAGCAAGATCGCCTTGTACTTCACACACTGCCACCTGCAAAGGTCAACAGTTCATTTTACTGGGATCAGCTGAAAAACAGGTGGAACCAGCGTAAGGTTCGCTGGTCTTCAGTGGTTTATGTTGACCCCTAACAGACCAGGGCTGTGTTTCCCAAAAGCATCGTAAGCCTAGTTGATCGTAGAACCATTATCATCAATGGAGCTACGATCATCTTAGGTTTACGATGCTTTTGGGAAACGCAGCCCAGACTGGGAGACCAGCGAACTAGTTTGTCTTAGTTTAAACAGTTTGATCTTTTCCTCAGTAGGAAAGACGTGTTTCACTACAGTTTAGACCAGTGGTTCTCAACTACTTTTGCATCAGGACTCAGATTCTATCTATCTATCTATCTATTGATCTATCGTTCTATCTATCTGTCTATCTATGTCAGTCTATCTATCTGTCTATCTATATCTGTCTATCTATCTATCGTTCTATCTATCTGTCTATATCTGTCTATCTATCGTTCTATCTATCTATCCATCTATCTATCGTTCTATCTGTCTATCTATGTCTGTCTATCTATCTGTCTATCTATCTATCTATCGTTCTATCTATATCTGTCTATCTATCGTTCTATCTATCTATCTGTCTATCTATGTCTGTCTATCTATCTGTCTATATCTATCTATCTATCTATCGTTCTATCTATCGTTCTGTCTCGTTCTATCTATCGTTCTATCTATCTATTCTATCTAGCTATCGTTCTATCTATCTATCGTATCTATTGTTCTATCTATCTATCTATCTATCTATTGATCTATCGTTCTATCTGTCTATCTATGTCAGTCTATCTATCTGTCTATCTATATCTGTCTATCTATCTATCGTTCTATCTGTCTATATCTGTCTATCTATCGTTCTATCTATCCATCTATCTATCGTTCTATCTGTCTATCTATGTCTGTCTATCTATCTATCTATCTATCGTTGTATCTATTGTTCTATCTATCGATCGATCTAGCTATCGTTCTATCATTCTATCTATCTATCTAGCGTTCAATCTATTGTTCTATCTATCTATCTAGCGTTCAATCTATTGTTCTATCTATCTAGCGTTCAATCTATTGTTCTATCTATCTATCTATCGTTGTATCTATTGTTCTATCTATCTATCTATCTATCTATTGATCTATCATTCTATCTATCTGTCTATCTATGTCTGTCTATCTATCTGTCTATATCTGTCTATCTATCGTTCTATCTATCTATCTGTCTATGTCTGTCTATCTATCGTTCTATCTATCTATCTATCTATCTATCTATCTATCTATCTGTCTATCTATCTGTCTATCTATCTATCTATCTATCTATCATGTTTTTATTTTATTTGAAGCAACAGCAAGTATCTATATTAACAGATCAATAATTAATATGGCTTAATTTGTTAATATGGCTTAATTTTATTCAGTATATTAAAAATGCATTATTTGCATTTTATTTTCATTAACATTATTTTTTAATCATTGTATTTTGAATCATTTTTCTCTGCTGTCAATGATCGTATCTGAACAAACCAGATGAGAACCACTAGTTTAGCCACAGTGTTTTGACTTCATTCAACATGAAATGGTCTTCTGCCTCTGTCTAATAATTGATTGCAGGTCAGGTCGTAGTTTCCCAGAGTGTCCTGAAGATAGTGATGTCAAAACCTGCACCCAAGACATGGATCCTGTGGCCTTCAACACCTACACTGAGTTTTTTACCCATGCACACAGTATATGTCATTACTTGCAGAGTGAGCGCTGGCAACAAAGAGCTGAGAACACCATTCACCGGTACAAAGGTCCCTAGATGCCTATTTTAAATATGAAAGGTATTTATGTGCATAAAATATTAATGTGAGCCAATGTTCATCTGTGTTTCAGGTTGACTGAGAGTTCAGCGGGGGTTGCGGAGCAGTTGGCCTCCACCCAGCGGATGGCCGAAGATCTGGTCGTGGCCCAAAGTGCCGCACTGAAATCCCAGGAAAGCATCCTTCGCAATGGAGAGGAACTCAAGAGCACCCTGCAAGACTCCACTCAAGGTGATTGCCAATACATAAAATAGAAGGAAGTATGCTTATTGAAGTATGATATCTGGTTTAGAATCACTGATGAAAGTGAAAGTTTTAGCAATAAAATGTTAAAATATACATTTATTTAAATAAGAAAAGGTCATGGTAAAATAAAAAAAAATTCATTATATAAAATGAAATTACATGTTATAGGCTTGCATTATAATGTACAGTACAAAAAATAGATATTCATTTTGAGTTTTAATAAAATTGTATTTTACAGTGTTATTGATTTTTTTAATGTTTAACTTTAAATGAGTATTAGATTATAGCAGAGTTCATTTAAATGTAATATTTGGGGAAATGAGCATGCACACTGAAATATTCAGTATTTAAAAATGTGTAATATTTGCCAATAACCAATATGCTACCGATATATTATACATCCTTTGTAATTACTTACAGCTCCAAGCTGTAAAGGTCAAAGGTCAGGTTGAGATGTCACAATCCTCCTCTCTCTTATCATTTAGATTCTCAGGTCATCGCTGACTCCTTTTTTACACTTATTTTATGTCAGTTCTTGCAAGTATCTGCAGTTAAATTTATTCTGGAATTAATTCACTCTTAACCACTTAACATGCAGACTCCATTCAGACTGTTTTGTAGATAATTTCAGCCTGACAGAAATGTCTTCTTTTTTGCATGTTGTAGAGATGAGGCAATCAATGCCAATCAAAGTGAAGTA